TTAAAACAAGGTTTACCCATTTGGCATCGCTACCTTATCTGTCCACTTGATTTTCCAAAGGTGCACAGTATTATGCTTGTACAGTTCTAACTTGCTCATTAGGAGTGAAATTTTAACCAAACTGATCTCAGATTCCTGCTTTTGCTGCCCGAAGCTTCCATTAACAGCAATCCTTTCACTGGACCACTTCCCCTCATCAGACACTGGCGTAGTATACGTGATATCAGATAACATCTACACAGCCAAGCAGACTGAACAGAGCTCAAAATGTTTCTTGCCAGTAGACATGGCCCTGTGGGTCTTAGCACATGTTGCTCTGCATCATAAGAGTGGGTTTTTGGCTTAGACAATCACATGGTGCTCAGCCCTTCTCATAAGAGCCATACTTCCAAGAGAGGGCAATTCTTATTTAAGCATCACAGCAGTATCCAAATTGCCCAAATCACCTGCCTGGCTGGGCACTAAAGCCTGGACAGAAATATCACTGCATCAGGCGAAATGAAGCACAGTGCAAAGACGGCAAACCAACCAAGGAAAGCTCTGAGTCTGGAGCTGGAATACAGTACAATGTTCAAGGTAGGGCTGATTGATGGTGGGAAAACGGGAACATGGGGGATCACTGTGGACAGTCCACACACATGCAGAACGATCCAAGCTAAAGTTTCTCTTAGTACCTCTCTTCTTTCAAGTATGTATTAGAAAAAAATGTCCCATCTTGATTTTAAAATTGGTAGTATCCACAGTAAGTGGATACTGAGAATCCACAGTAAGTCCTGGTAAGTTGTTCTAACAATTACGCATGATAGTTAAAATCGATAGTTTGTGCTTAATTCATTTGCACCCAAAGGTGTTTAGAGCTGTCTGAGGTTCCCTAAGGTATGTGAGACATCTGCAACGCCTGACATATTTGAAACAGTGCCAGTGGGAGACCACTGGAGACTGCAAAGCACCTCAAATAGTCCCAGCTACCCCTGCGTGAGCAGCTGAACTGAGCACCTTCTATCTGTCCTGCTTCAGTTCTGGCCACTGGTTCCTGTTACAACTTTGTCTTTTATCCTCATGCTTCTGCTCTTGCATAGGTATTTAGAGACTGCAAACAAGTCACCCGTAATATTTGCTTCCTGGAAGTGATTAAAGTGAGTTCCTTGAGAAGCTCCAAGGCTTAGCTGCATGTCGTGTGCAGTGCTATCTTCACAGGAACACGGTTCCTACTGGTTTTATTTGATGTCCCCTAGCTCTTGTATTTGACTAGATAGTAAACAACTTCACCCCTATTACTCCACCCCGCTACTAATGATTTTATAGGTGCTATCATAATTTGACGCACTACCAATATGAAATAATTATAATTCATAGAATCATTTAGGTTGGAAAAGACCCTTACGATTGTTCTTTATTTCTATGCCTCATTGACCCCAAGATCACAACAAGGAACAGATGATTATTCACAAGAACCCAAACAACTTTGAAAAAAGAAAATATTATTAATTCCCAGGATGGACTCCATCACTCATCAGTCTTGGATTTTGTTCCTAAATGTGTCCTTTTACTTCTCCATATTGAAATACACTCTGCCCATTTGCTCCCAGTTGCCATGCAGAGACCGAGGTAGCTCTGTGTCAGTGAACTGTCCTCTTCATTAACACTCCATAGCCCCAGTTTTCAATTCCTACACATTTGGTCTACAATGATTCTTTATTTTACCCCCAGATCAATGACAGAAACAGAATAACGAACCAGTTGCCATAGGATTTCCCTGCAAAGAGACTCAAGGATTCAGTTTTCACAGTGACATTTGAAAATCTCTGTTTAACCAGTTAGATCCACCTAATTTGCACCATGGTAATTTTATACCCTTTTTTAAAAATCCACCTCCAACATGGTATTAACCAAATACTTTCAGAAATCAGTTACACCAAGAATTGCTCACTCTTACTGTAGGACAACAACAAACTGATTGGACAAGGCCTATTTTCTATATACACATACTCATTTGTATCAATTTCATTGCCTGCCTTTAAGAATTCATTGATCAGGTGATGTGCCCACTATTTCTTGCCTTTAACAGTGACAGGCTGACAGTCTTAGCATTACCCAAATCATTTGGCCAATCCTTTTAAATAATGAGCCAATATCAGCTTTCCTAGTCCTCTAAAATCTTTCTAGTTCCCCAAAACTAAAAGGCAGCATTAACGGCCCACACAATATGTTCCTGGTTCCAAAAGTTCTGAAACTCTTGGCTGTGAATTACTGGGACTGGCCTATGATAAAATATTTAATTTATGTGGTTGCTATTTAACATAATCCCTAGTTACTAATGGAGCCCAAAATGCTCTTTCACCAGCACCTGATACTAATACACTATCTGATTTTCTCCCCCAGACAAACATGAAAAAGAAATATTAATTCAATAGTCCTCCATTTCCTTGTGGTGGCAGTGATGGCAGCAACTGCCTTTATCTACTAAGTTTTGATTATTTTTACCTTAGCTGACCATAAATTTATCTTTATGTTTTTCTACTTCCATTACTCATTCCAGGGCAACGGTGGCCTATTCAGATGAGTTAAGACCGAAAGATAGCGGCCTTTACCTTGCTCTATAGGAGTGATTACTATAGGGCAACCAGCCCAGAGCACTAAGCTCCATTTCAAATATCCCATTACATATCAAAAACACATAAAAAGCCCAAAAATGTTGCTTTATTTCAGCCCAAGTCAGCTTCTAGCTTTAAGCAGGAGGGATGAAGCTCTCTGCTTAACACTCCTCCCAGAAAAGACACTATCTGATACTACCAAGTTTGTCACACCTCATTGTCAGGTGGATTTTTTTATTGTTGCAAAAATAAAACGAGGAAGGATTAAATTCGTGGGATCGGAGTGGGGATTTTAAAATGCTTTTTATGAATCTTAAGCCCGAGGAGAGGCAGGAGGAATGCAGGGCACTGAGAGCTTCTGCAAACATGCTTCCAAACATCTGGAGTGTGTGCTGAATCCACCTGCAAACAGCTGACTTCCTTCTGTCTCCCACCAGGTTCCTCTTCCCCCCAAAACCTCAAAATCAGGCTTCTTTCCCAGTTTTGGTGAAATCACTTCTGACATGCAGAGCTACTGAAGCCTGCTCATATCCCTTTGTGCCCCAAAACTCTGGAATTCCCACTTGCAACTGTCTCACTCCCAAGGTGTCTGTTTAATCCCACTTTTATTAGGAGCACAGCACCCGGTAGGTTACAGAGGTTACAAACAATGAAGCTTTTATCCAAACTGGCTAACAAGTTGCTAATAAACTCTCATTCACGAAGGGGCTAAGCAGGACCAGGCTAAAACTAACCTGAGGGGGTTAAAAAAGGGAAGGGAAAAAAAAAAAAAAAAAGGGCTTCGGAGAGCATTCCAGTTCCTTTAGAGCTGCATCGTGACCCGGTCCACAGCCCTGAAACACTTGTGCGAGCATAGCAGACAGATAGAGCATCCAGGATTGGACACAGAGCAGAACTGCTTCTTTCAGCTATGCTGTTCACTCACAGCAGCCTAAAGTGCTGGAGTAACTACGGCTTGCAATAAACTATGATTTATTCCTCGCTTTGTGGTGGAATCCAGGGGCTGCATCGTGCTCAGTGCCATATAAATGCACTGGGAAAATACTTGCTGTCCCAAAATGCTAACCCTCAGTCTGTAGCCTGTAGTGGTTTTATGGAGACCATGAAGTAGAAACAAAACCAAACTGAGCCTGTTGTTGGTAGCCTGAAAAACTGTGGAATGAGGACACCTCCCCAGGAAATGTTGTAGGGTCTGAAATATCAAGAAAGATTTGAAAACCACTGATTTTATCGTAAGGTAAGTTGGCAAAATTTGATCGCCAGAACTTAAGTCCAATAGATGACTAGATACAGGGAGGAGGAATATACATTATTCTCCTTAGGTAAGGGATAAAAATTACTTCAACCTGTATATACGTACACAGAACACCCTTCCCAAATTCACGTCAGTGAAACATTTATTGCACACCATCAGACATTCTCTCTCTGTTACCCATTTACAGGACAAATAAGAGGGTGAGTGAAAAAAAGAGACTTTCTTAGAGCAGATTAATTGGTGTAAAGCACCCAGTCTAGGAAGGAATAGGCTTAACTGTAAATAAGAGAGTGGTACTAAAGCTTAAATTTAATTTGAGCTGTTCTTAATCAATTCCTTGATATTCTTGAGAGTGGAGCTATGGTCCTGGATCACTGCGAGAAAAAAGGATAATTTTCCTGTTTTGTCCCAGAGGATGAAGAACTCATTCCCAATTTCATTTATGACTCTGGAGAAAGATACAATCTGGACACGAAGAATTCTCTTATATGTGGGCCATCGAGTTACTTCCTTGCCTGTTGCCAGCCCTAGGGAGAAGTGAAACTTATATTGCAAATGCAGCAAAAATAAATCAAACCAAACCTGTGGTTCCTGCTTCACTGCAGCAATTCAGAGCCTGATGTCTCTCCTACTGGTAAGTCAATAGTGGCCAGTACGGTTTATTATATCCTGATCCTCCAACATGTTCCCTGTGCCTAGACATCAGCATCCTTGAGAAACAGAGAGAGACACAGGTGGGTGCAGGTTATCGGTCGCCGCTGCGAGACTGGGTGCTCAGGTCTGAAGCATTTTCAGGTTTCCGTGTTCAGCTGTACACACCTGAGATTCACAACCGGAAAGTTAAGCTTGTACCTGCATGTTCAGAGGAGCAGAGCCTTAGAGGCAAAGACAGTGTCTTCCTAGCAGGGGGAAAAGTGCTTGCCACATGCACGACAAGGACAAGCACAACACCAAAGCCAATGGTGTGGCTAGCACAAGGCAAGGTCGGGGAGGATCTTGCTCTCCTGCAGCACATTTTCTTGGGAAGTCTTGAAACACTTCCCAAGGCAGCTGGCTGGAGAGGTTCTCACGCAATCGCAGCTGGCTGGGGAGACGGTTCAGCCCCAACTCCCAGGGGCCATGGGCTCCTCTACCTGGCAGACCTCACTGCCACACTCATAATGCCAGTGCTAACGAATGTCCCAGCAACTTAGTAATAACAGAGTAATTTCACAGTATTGCTCAAGCCCGACCCCAAATCTGCTCTCAGTGGTGGACAGTAGCCCCAGACTCTTACCTTGAAACTGATTTCAGTTTTGCATCTTGGCACTTTGCTTGCTGGTTTCTCAGTGCGTTTCTGAAAGGCAAATGTCTCCCAGACCTCTCTGGAAAAAAGCAGCATTTAGAAAGCAGAGAGGCAGAGTCCTGGATCTCTTCGTGCTGCTCTCCTCGTGCCTTGGCAGAAGGGAACAGCAACAGGTTTGTACTGAGAGCTGACGATGTTTCGAGGCAACACTGTATGCTACTTGCAGGATAAACACATTAAGAAAATGAAACATTTTTACAGCCGTAACACCATCAAAGCTTTACTCTTTCCACTCTTTAAATTAAGTGTTGGTTTGCATATCCGTGCCATCCCAGCTATGTAGTAACCTCTCTAAAGCTATTTTTGTTTCACGTTCCTTACTATTTGGTAAAGCAAGCTGGAGTTTTCTGAGGACACGCATTTTTATTAGAGCTAATTCAGCATTATTTTCTCACCCGTTTCCTTTGTTGGAAGCAGAGAAATCAACTAAAGAAAACTCGAAGGCAGCATACCATGCCTCTGAGGGAAACTGCCTTCCCCACCTCGTCATAGCCGGGCTGCTCCTCTAGATGGCTCTGCCTTTGCCCAAATACATGAAATCCCTGAAGCAAAAATCGCAATTTCGAGCGATACGATGATACCACTGACTGCTCCTCTTCCTCCTGCAACGATCATTGGATTTTTCAGCAAACGGATAAACAGAAAATTGTTGTAATTTTAGAGAATAACATTTTCGGTTTAGCTTTTCAAACACTGAGGGAAGTTGCTTTTTAAAAATCTACCTGCTTTTTGTCCTTTAGATGCCCTTTCTAGCTGTGATTTCCCCATAAACTGCTTGTTTTAGATGCCTGTTGTCCGGTCAGACTTCAAATCAGCATTTTCCAGTGAAACCCTTCCCCAAAGAGATGCAGAGCTGTTATAAATAATAAAGGCAAGGAAGCTGAGAAGGGAAAAGACACCTTGCAGAACATAATGTAGAATTTTCTGCTGCTCTGGTTATCCAAATACACACGGTAAGCTCTTTCCCCAGAAGATACAAAATAAAATCAGCAACAGTGACAAAAAGAAACAAAATAGCAACAGAAAAAAAAAAAACCACCACCACCCCCCCCCAAAAAAAACCCTGAAACCAAACACCTTCTCTTATGAGAAAAAGAGGAAACTCAAAATCATAATTCTTCACCACACTCACTTTTAAGCGATTCTGTGTCCCCCCAAACTGTCCGTTCACTAGTTTTAAAACGAAATATCATGGGGAAAATCCTCCAATTATTACATCCCTGCCCAGATCACACGGGGGATGAAAATTTGGAATTGGGTCTAGCCCGGGAAAGCTGCCCCGGTTCGGCTTCACTGATTTACATGTGCCTTTATTTTATCAGAGACATAAAATGCGAAGACTTTTCCCAAACGCGCCTCTCTCCCCAAAATCCTGATGTCAAATCAAGACACCCGGCGCTTGCAACTTTGAGGAGAGCGCTTCGCATGTCTACCTGGAAAGGGGATTTTCACGCATTTTTACCAGCAGAGAACGGAGTAACAATCCCGTTTAAGACCCGGGGATTTACAACTTCTAAGCGACTGACAAAGACTAAATTCTCCCGCAAGGCTGACCGTATTTTTCTTGTTATACGTGTGCTTTGCCCCGGACGAGAAGGATTTGCTGGAGCCGGTCCCCGTACAAACCCCGGGGTGTCGGGATGGGTATGAACACCGAGAGCTTTTTCTCTGCATAAGGAAGCGCTTTCCCTCAAGTTCCCCCGAAGCACGAAGGCGAAAATCAACTTTTATTCATTAAATCGCGCCCCGCGACCGCCAGCCCTTTCCTCCCGCAGTACGGAGCGAACGCGCCGATGCTGCTTGTCCGTTTAATTTCGGGCAATTCCTTATGCAAAGCTCATTCACTGCGATCTCAGCCCCGGCTGTTACGAGACGGGCGGCAAAATGACACATAAATAACAGAGTTTAGGCGAATTTCAGCCTTCGCGCTCCCGTCGGGGCAACGGCTGCGATGCTCATCTCCCCCAGACTTCAATTTCGGGGCCGGTTTCGGGGGCGAAGGGGTCAGGAACGATCGCATCCGTGGGGAAGGTGGAGGGGGGGGGATCATCCCTGAGCGCCGGGGCAGCGCGGAGAGCCCCGGTGGAGAGGGGGATGGGGG